AAAATAACTGAGACCGCGATAAAGCAAACCAAAGGACTAAATGAGAAGAGAAATAATGCAGTTGCCAGAAATCGAAACTGTCAACAGGTTAGTAATAGGAGATTTAAACTTACCACAACCCACTTCCACGAACCTATAATATCTCATCAACTTTCAGTGACGCTAAAACTAGTCATAGAAGTTCCGTACTATAAATTAGCCGTAAAGCAATAAACAATTGTTGCTGAAGCAGACTGCAAACGCCTTGAAAACTTAGAGTTTGAAATACTCAAACAAGTATTTAGGAGTGTAGACCTTTAAATCTGGGACGCTGGTACCCATACTTGATCCCATATGTCTGCCCAGTCGCCGGTGTAAACTAATGCTTCAAATGAACACAGCAGCAACATATAATCAGGTAATAACCTTAGTGATATTGTTGTAAGGAACAATAATAAATGTTATGTATTGTGCTGTGTATTTTTTTGGTGAGATAATTGACATCTAATCAAACTTAGAAGTTTGAGCAGTCTGCAAGTGTCTCTAACAATAATACTAACCACATGTAGTAATGAACAACATTACACAATTGTCACATAATAATGGAAACTAATACCTTTATGTGAATAGTCCAGTAAAATGGAAGTCGTGTCTCAAAGCATATATCGGATGGACAGAGATCTATAAATTGCTTGATTAAACACTGACAACATCAATATCTTAAACGCGATTTCATGCTACCACAGCCAATAGAAAAGAGTTTATAGAACTTCGGCACACGATGTGCATTTCCGGAGGTTAGACAAGAGTACATACTTGTTTTCAAAGGAGCAACCTGAGTGTGGTCGCCAAAAGTTATCTCGCAAACACCTGAAAATAATAGTTTGGTCGATTTCTATCTTGTGTGTGTTTGAATATAATATTGAGCCTGGCGCTTTAAGGAAACATTGTCCATGGTCGCTCGGCCATAGGAAGGCAACCTTTGGGATACTGCAGGTTCACTTTGTCGAGAAATGGATGAGTGGTCAACTATGGTTCTCGAATCAGATATTAATACATTGATTAGTTCGATCTGACACCGAGGCCTATTACCTGCTATAGATTACTCCTACAATATATTCTGATGTACTAAACAATGTTAATGAATACCATACAAACGTATCAGATATAGTTCTCTTAAATTCTACTTCTCAGTATTATAGACCCCATGAAAGTACGTGATGTACGAGATACTATGCGGAGAAATATGTCATGAAGTTCCTGATAAAACTTCTCTTCATAAAGGAAACGGTTATATGAGAACATCACTGTCACTAAATGGTTTCGGACCTACCGGAAAATAATACTTTGTGCAGATAATTTACAGACGAATTTTAAATTTGTAGATAGACCGAGTAATCATGAAATTCGAGGACGGATAGCTTGAGGCTCCTACTTCATCAAGTGTCTCACATTCAAACGAATCTATTTAACATAAGCCGGAGATATACGGAGTATAGTCAGGAAGATTAATACAAGCTCCCAGTATTCCACACTTTAAAGGGCTATCAATATCTGAAATATCTACGTATGCACTACCTAATGTTTTCTACTCTTAGAAGGCTTTAAAAATCGCTAAAAACATTATTGGTATGAGATAAAAATCGAAGTATATTTACGGTGGCTTTATTCATCAGAGAGTACTGACCCTACAGCGTGAGAATAAAGGTCAGAACACGAGTCACCTTGAACTTGATTGTAGAGCCTCTCCGAAAGTATTTTAAACAGTAGTTTTCAGCAAACATTTTAGTGGTCAAAAATAGATGACCACTTGTTTATTCTGTTTCTCACGTTTGAACAAAAATGTCTAATTCATAAAGGGGTATATTTCTTGTTGCAGTCATGCAGAATAAATGGGTTCAAAATATTGGTGATTCATTCTCCATTGATCTTGTTTTGATCTTTGTCTTACTTCAACAAGCGCGTCTAGAGTCCTTGAGATCCAGTCATCTAACCTTTTTATTGGGTTTGTATCCATTGGTTTACATACGCTTCGTGGAACAAAGCATTATGATCATCTGACGTTAGATCACACTTATTCTTGTCGTTTCGGAAAGACTAAGTTTCGATCGTTTTTCTTTAGCCGTGACAAGTAAACTGGACATTTTAATCAATGGCGTTGAATTATTTAGATTTTTAGTACTGTATTTAGATAATGTGTCTCCAATTTTACACCTAAGTTTGCGCTTAACAGCCTAAACGAAGCTGGAATGTAGTGTGAAGGGGTGTGCAATGTTTCGTAATTAGGTATTGTGTATTGTAGATAAAGCGAAAAATTTCAAACTGAACTTCCACATTATAGTCACCAAGCAGCACAATGTCAAAATAAAGGATTAAAAATTCCTGGCTTTGGAGGTCGACTATACGGGTTGGAATATACACAAGTATCAATTAAAAGCCACAGGATTATTGAGCTTTCCTCCAAATTCACAAACGTCTGCCAGTCTTTATGAAAATTTACAAATGTATACGAAGGTGTAAAAAGTTCAATGAAAACTTCCCGGAAGAGATGATTGGGGTTAGTTGGAAATCATGTTAGTGGATATTTCTTGAGCTTATACTGACATAATCAGCTAAGTTTGATGGCGTTTTCACTGCCTTTTGAACTCACTATAATTACAATGCTTTGACTAACTAAGCTCTGAAATTCCTGTAACAGCCTTAAACTACATTGTTTTACCTGATTGGATGTATTTTATCGAGGTATGGAAGGAGAGGAAGTTAAAATGCGGATACCATTTCCGTGTGGTACAAACTATTTTGTAAGAAAATTGCATTAGCAAAAGCGAACAACAGAAATGTAACGTTACAGAGATTTCAGTTTTTCACATTACGGTTAAAAACACTGACGTACTAATGGGAAAAATATTCTTTCAGGAATTAATGTATAAAAAGCAATCTTCTAATAAACCATAATTTATCTGTGCACTTACTTTCTAACTTACATAGGCTAGACAGGAAAATCAGGTGTCAGTAGGGACAGTATGTATGAGTGCACACTGAGTTGACAACTAAGGCAGACACATAATACACAAACCAATGACTGAGACATTTGTGTCGACAATATATAATTTTGTGTGAATTTTGAGTAAACGTAGGCAAAAAGTAGACAATCAATCGTAAATCCGATGGCATTCAAAACTCAAGACAAAAGAAGGTGGAATGAAATCACTCAACGCTACAAAAATTACATTTACTCAGGTTTTTTCGTGTATTTACCCTCTATTTTGTTCATAGATGTCCCTTTGATTTCCACTTTACGTTTTATTGGGAGGTAACACACAAAGAAAAATATAAGCGAAAAAAAGACCACTTCAAAGCCATTCAGTTGTGAATATAGAGACGTCTAGATTAGTGAGAGACGTTTAGGTTAAAATCTGCATTCACCCACTGGATAGGCGTAGAAGTGCAAGGTATTGCAAACACAAAATATATGTGATATACATTCACGGACAGGTTACAAATCACAAAAACATGTTGAAGACAACCTTAACACAACTACATACTATTTCTATCCAGTTCCAGTACGTATTAAGAAAACAGTCTGTTACTTCGTGTGATTAACAAAACTAATAATGCCTTCAAGCTATAACCTCGGGTTACTAACGGCACGAGATCGGATAAACGCGAAGGGATGGGTGTGAGGTCAGCAACCCCCTCCTGTAGGAAACAATTCTTCTAAAAACGTTAACCCGAACAAATAAATCAAACCTTTTAGACTTTGCCCTAACAGTTGGTAGGTCCCATTTAAAAGGGTTATGACGCTTAATGATGAAAGCC